CCTTTACACCAACCACGACTTCTAAGACGGTAGTATTAACTGTAAATAGGAAAGCTTCTTGGATGCTTGTAAATCCTTCTTCTTTTATGTGATCTCGCCCTGCAAGGACGTGGGCGATTCCTTAGAATTTTCATACGATCAGTGATTCTAAGCAGTATTCATCTCCTCCCAGTTCCTCCCAGCTCCTATTTAGCCAACTGCTGGATGCGTCCTTTTTAGGACATTGTATTGTTGTTGTTTTTTTAATTTTAGGAAATGTATTATGTTTAAAACAAACTGAAAGAATGGATTGACATAATAAATATAATGGTAGACTTTGGCGGCCTGCAGTCGGCACTGCAACCTAAGTTTCATTGCTGCGAAATGAAATCCTTTTCAAATTCGAATGCCCGGTAGTCATGAGCATAACCATATATATATATATATATATATATATATATATATATATATATATATATATATATATATATATTAAAAAGAAGACAAGAGAAGTGCCGGAAACGTTTTTCGTTGTAATGTAGATTTATTTTTTTTTAAATATTATGCTTTATTTTTCATAATTTTACTACACATGTTTCTGGTCTCGTGACCGTCTTCGGGTAAAAGTCAGAGATTTCCACATATTATTAAAAATATTTTTTTTTTCCTTTATGTTTATTGATGTTAAATATTCTCGATATGAGACATTCTCTGTTTTTGTGTTAGTAATCCGAATGTCTTTCTTGAATAGGCAGTGAAGAGTTCCTATATATATATATATATATATATGATCAATGTTTATGTTGTTTTGGCATATTTTTGTGATATAATACATATCTCTACAATAGCTTCAGTCACTTGAAAACACCGAAGATTCCTCAATAAACTTAATTCATTCTCTGTCTATATTTCTAAGATGAAGTATTATATACACTATTTACATTATTCGGTCTATTGTCCGCAACTTTGTCGCCATATTTATTGCAACGTTTGAACCGTTGTACCCTCCGGCCTTCCTCAGGTGGTTGGAATGTAGAACTGAGCCCTTTATTCAAGTGGCAACCCAGAAACATTTGATAAAGAATTGGTCAGTATAAGTAGTACCCTAAAACGTAAAACTGCCCGGGTAGCATCTCGCCAAAACTGGGATAGGCGGGTGCATGAGTAGGACAACAACACTCAGATAACAGTCTGCCTGCCTTATGTGAAAGGGTTTTCAGAGAAAATACAAAGGATCTGCGGTCCATATAACATCAGGACAACCTTCAAAAGCTGGACGAGACTTCGCAGATATCTCTCCTGAGTAAGGCCCTCCATAGAGGAGAACATGACTAAAGACTGCGGAAAGAAATATAAAGTGGAGACAGGCTGCCCCCTTTAAGGTAAGGCGTCAAGAACACAAAAACGCAGTAACACGAGGGGAAGTGGAAAAATCAGGCGTGGCTGACCACATATGGAGAGAAAAGAGAGATCACGGTTCTCTGTGGGATCAGGTTGAGATCATAGACAAAGAAAACCATTGGAAAATTCGTAAACTTAAGGAATCAGCACATATGCTAGTCCAAAAAAAAATCTCCTGAGCCGACCAAGCATAGAAATGAATACAATATGGGAACCAGTAATAAGGAGTCCCAGAGAAAAGCTATAATAACAACAAAAATTTGCAATAGAAGCTCCAGTAAAAGCATGCGATAACAGCAAAAAATTGCAATATGAGCACTGGTAAAAACGGTTGTAAAAGATATTAGGTTTATAATACCCAGAAATTCATACACAGATGTCCCCAAGGACACATGGCACAGTGGATAAAGGCCTTAGTTAGATCCAGTGAGAAGAACCAAAGAGTGGGAGTTCAATAACTTTTTAAGGCGGTGGAGAACTTATAGAGGCGAATTAACAGGAGAAAACTGACAACTGACTTCCATTAGACATGGCACGTGGAACTAGAAGAGTCTACCCCAGTGAGCGAAATTAAGTGTTTAGTTCGACATTCCAACAAATTGAAGAAGGCCGGAGCGTACGACGGCCGAAACGTTGTAATACATATGGCGACAAAGATGAGGACAGTGTCCGATAAGGAATTCACAACAGTTGCACAGCACCGAACAATTACTCATCTCCTGAGAACTGTTTACTTTCATTATTTTGACTGTAAAATTGATCAGGACATATCCTGGACCCAACGCATCTGTTACAATACAGAAACCGCATAGTTCCATAACACGAGGTCAGCCTTCAACTTGGCTGTCCTGATGGTCTGGGTAGAGCAACGAATCCATGCAGATATTTTTGTCTAATAAACACAATTGATTTCAGTGCTTCTTCCAAACAATGTTCCAAATTTCCTTCAGCTATGAGACCCAATCCTTACTCAGGTGATATGCTTGCCCCTACGCCCCCAGCACATAAAGATCTTATTTCTTCATCATATGAAACATTGCCTTCAGAGTAAAATTCAGCCAAGTCGTTCTAGAAAACAACGTCTCTGTTTATTCAGGAGCAAGGCACAAGAACCCCACTGGATCACCCAAGAAGACCTGAATGACCTTGCCCGTGATTTATATGTATCTATGCAGCAGTCGGAGCTTGTGGTATCCCGGCTAAAGCGGTGGATCCTGGTCACCTCAGATTTAAGAATATCAAATCTCAAGACACGGAAGAATGTCTTGGCCTCATTCTTTGGCCTGAAAAACAAGCTGTGACACTAATCCTAAATGAACTGAGAGTATAAGACATATTTAAATCATTCTGCCATTTTCCATGGTACCAGATACCCAGACTACTAAAAGTTTATCGAGAAAATGTTAAAGGCTTATGAGCATATGGCATGCCGAATGACACTCAAAATTTACTTTCTCCACTCGCACATTTATCTTCATCCCTCTGAACCTCAGAGCAGTGAGTGATGGGTATGGTGTCATGTTCCACCAAAATATTACTAGGATGAAAAGAAGCTACCAATGCTAAATGGAACCGCAACATGACGGTGGATTGTCTGCTGTACGTGTATGTATGGTGTTGTTCAAGTTCTTTTATTGCTTTGTATCAATGCTGCTTTTGTACTATTCATTCATGATAGATAAAATAAACACATAATGTTTTAAATTTATATGCAGTAAAATAAAAGTGTGATATGTGAAAGCTAAAAACAAGAGATGATAAAACAAAACTCTTTACAAATTTGAATTCACCAAATGAAAACTAGTAAAAAAACATCTGTTCACTTGCTTGCCCCAGAGAAAAAAAAATATTTGTAAATCAGTGTTATCAATGTTGTAGGAGTAAAAATAAAACTCGTAATATAAGTAAGCATTCAGATGAGTTAACGGTTAGCGAGGGAGCTGTGGTGGCTCGAGATAATCACCGTGAAGAAGGCAATGAGAAACCACATTACTACCATTGCTACCAAAAAAAGTAAATAGATATTGAAAATAGAAAATGGCGGTTGCTCGACGAAGGCACGAGATTTTCATCTCTATTCATTGATCTTCGAATACATTAATCTGCTGTTGTTTACGGTTCATTATAAACTATCCTCCATAGCCCAATACTAATTTTTCTATTGTTATTTAGGGAAGGGAGGAGATTGAACAAGAAATATCTATGACTTACACATGCCAAGACACAATGGCATTTAGTAGTTCTACAAGAATATAAAATGCATTCAAAAAGACAATTCTGCGCTTCTATGGGAGTCACATTTTATCTATCTATCTATCTATGTATCTATCTATCTATCTATAATGGAAAGAAAAACACAGAAATAAAAATGAACGAAAATAGTAAGTAAGAAAGGTGTTTAGATCAGTTTAATTGTTTGCGTGATACACGCTTAGGCCATCATGTATCTTTCGATATATGACTGACAAGGCAATTCTTTTTCCTGTTGTAGGTTGTCATTTCTTTCTGTGGTAGACCAATTGCCATATATGGCTATAGAACCCGGTCTGTTCTGCTATTTACCCATCATGGGGAGAGAAGAATAGGATTCACACCTTTCTCAAGGGTATTAGCACGTAAGTGAATGCAATGAATCTGACTGGAATTCGACCTCGGCACTCCGATTTCTCAATCCGAGTCGCTATCCACCGTGCTTCCCTTAGATAGTAAATAAAAGATGAAAAAGGAAAGGCTGTAAAAAGTAAGAAACGAAAATCGCAAACAAAGTAAAAGGAAAAAAAATGTAACTGAATTGAGACAAAGAAAGGAAAAAGAAGCATAGAATAAACATAGAAAAAAAGAGAAAGAAAACTAGAATGGAGGAAAAGAAAAAGAGAAAGAAAACTAGAATAGAGGAAAAGAAAAAGAGAAAGAAAAATAGAATAGAGGAAAAGAAAAAGAGAAAGAAAAATAGAATAGAGGAAAAGAAAAAGAGAAAAGAACGAAATAAAAAAGAGCGAACGAAAGAAAAAGAAGAAAAGTAAGAAAAATGAAAGAAAAGATAGAAAGGGTGATAAATAAACGAAATAATGAAAGCGTAAAAGAAAAAAAAAGTACGAATAAAAAGAAGAAGAAAAAGACTGAAATTGTAAAAGAAGGATAGAATAACAGAAGGAAAGAAAGAACGAGAGGAAGAGCGAAATAAATTACAAATAAAAAAAGACTGAAAGATTAAAGGAATATAAAAAAAGTAAGAAAGGACGTACCCAAAACCGGAATGAAATACGAAGAAGAAAAAAAAGAAAAATATTGAAAGACAGAAAGATTAAAAGAAAGATAGGAAGAGCGAAATAAAGTACGAAAAAAAAAAAGAAAATGACTGAAAGAGTAAAAGCAAGAAAGAAAGAAAGAAAGAAAGAAAGAAAGAAAGAAAGAAAGGGACATTGAAATAAAGTGTGCAATAAGGAAAAATCTGAAAGAGTAAAGGGAATCAAGATAGAAAGAAAGAGAGGATAACAAAATTAAATATGAAAAAATAAAATGAAAAAAGAAAACCTGAAAGAAAGAAAGAAAGAAAGAAAGAAAGAAAGAAAGAAAGAATGAGTGAAACATCGAAATAAAGGACGAAATATGGAAAAAATCTAAAAGAGCAAAGGGAAGAAAGAAAGAAAGAAAGAAAGAAAGAAAGAAAGAAATGAACAGGGCAAAAAACGAAAAAGAAATGAAACAATCAGGCAATAGATGAAAAGAAAGAAAGAAAAAGAAAGAAAGAAAGAGAGGAAACCCAAAGTTAAATATGAATAAATAAAATGAAAAAAAAAACCCTTAAAGAATAAAAAGAAAGGAAGAAAGAACGAAAGAAAGAAAGAAAGAAACAGAGAAAGAAAGAATGAGCAGAACATATGGAAATAAGGGAAAAAATCTGAAAGAGCAAGAAAGAAAGAAAGAAACAAAAAATAAAGAAACAAACAAAGAAAGAAAAAGAAAGAAAGAGAAGAAAACCAAAATGAAGTATGAAGAAGTAAAATTTAAAAAAATGAAAGAATTAAATGTAGAAAGAAAGAAAGAAAGAAAGAAAAGAGAGAGAGAGGAATATCGAAATAAAGAACGAAAAAAAGGAAAAATTTGAAAGAGCAAAGTGAAGAAAGAAAGAAAGAAAGAAAGAAAGAAAGAAAGAAAGAATGAGAGGAAAAACAAAATGAAATAGGAAGAAATAAATTTTTAAATAAATGAAAGAATAAAAAGTAGAAAGAAGAAAAGAAAGCGAGGAATATCGAAATGAAGAACGAAAAAGAATAAACTTGCAAGAGCAAAGAGAAGAAAGAAAGAAAGAATGAAAGAAAGAAAGAAAGAGAGGAAGACCGAAATAAAATAGGAAAAAAAAAATAAAATGAAAAATAAAAGAATAAAAGGAAGAGAGAGAGAAAGACTGAACGAACGAACTAACGAATGACGAACATCGAAATAAAGTGGGAAGAAAGCAAAGAAAGAAAGTCTGAAAGGGTTAAATGAAGATAGAAAGAAAGAAAGAACGAGAGGAAGGCCGAACGAGAGAAACAAAGAAAACAAGAACAGATTATGTAAGTGAAAGTAAAGAAAGAACTAACAGGAAAAGAAGTGCAAAAATGCAAATGAAAGGTAAAAAAAAAAAATCATATGACAACGAACAAGAAAAAAAAAATGCCATCAATATTAAACGTGCCAAATGGAGCAACAGGAATGATTTCTTCTTTGTGAAATGCTCACGTTTGTTTCGTGATTTAGAGTTTAAAAAAAAAATGCTCACTTTTGCATAACAAGTGTCAAGGATCAATGGAAAGGTCAACTTAAAATGAATCTCAGAAAAAAGGTGGGGGTGTCAAATCTCGTTTTAATCACGTGATATCTCGTAATGTATAAGAATCTTGTTCACGGAAACCACCTACCGCTTCCCCTCCCTAAATTCGTGAAAGTAAAGATGAAATGAAAAGCCGCAGGAGAAAAGGTGCAAAATGCAATGGATATCATATTTAGAATTTCTGTCGGAAATAGTGTGCTGTGAGAAAATCGTCAGTTATTAATAAATTGAGCAAAATCTATCTATCTATCTATCTATCTATCTATCTATCTATCTTCTCTGTTCACATCTACCTCTCTCTCTCTCTCTCTCTCTCTCTCTCTATATATATATATATATATATATATATATTCTCAGTATATTACTGCCTTTATCTATCTATCTATCTATCTATCTATCGAGATATATGTATATTCCCTCAATTCATATCTCTTTCTATCTCTTCCTTTCTCTCTCTCCTCTCTCTCTCTCTTTTATATATATATATATATATATATATATATATATATTCGATCACTATATAGTTGTTTGTCTGTTTCAGTCTCTCTCTCTATATATAGAGAGAGAGAGAAAGAGAATGTGAGAATATATATATATATATATATATATATATATATATATATAGAGAGAGAGAGAGAGAGAGAGAGAATATATTTTAAATAATAGACGGTTTTGCATTCAGCAATTTTCGTTTAATTTAATTTTTTATAATCATTTATGTTGGCTTGGGAAAGTATTATTACTTTTAGAAAAGAGAATATTTGAAATCGTCTGGTGAACAGGTTTATATTTAGGTAACATTCGATAGCGGCACTCTCAAGAATTTTCCGTCTAAGTTAATTTCTCTCTTAAATTTGGCATTCTTAAGATCGGAGTTGTAAATGAAATTAGTTTTATGTATGACTAATGCATTTGAAAAATTGTTGTGCATGAGATCGTTTTTTTATTTTTTAGAGATATATCTTATATTCATGCCTGACTTCTCCCCGAACTTAATACATATATATATATATATATATATATATATATATATATATATATATATATATATAGAGAGAGAGAGAGAGAGAGAGAGAGAGAGAAAGAGAGAGAGAGAGAGAGAAAATTTGACGAATTGGATAGTTTTTGTGACGCGTTTCATCCGTTAAGATTTCATCGGACTGGACTTTGTTGACGTTGCCACGTCTATACATGCGCCAAGAAACGAGAGACGCTGGTAGTTTCAAAATTTTTGGAAGAATAATTTATTTTGAATTTTTTTTTTTATAAATAGTGTTTGTTGATATATAAAATTATTCAAAATTATATATCGTTATATCATATATATATATATATATATATATATATATATATATATATATATATATATTTTTTAAACATACAACATGTGTTAGCACGTGCGATACCCTGTCTGCATCAGCCGCCGACCAGTGGTGATATCACGGTTTCGGTGGCTATGGCGGGACAGCCACACCCTGGCGCCACCAGCAGCGTTTGCCACCAGGCAGGGTATGAAGATAAGCTAACTAATTGTTTCCTTAAGTAAAATCTATCTGCAATGAAAGTTTCTTGAACGCGTTTGCCGTTATTGATGCGCTCGTTATAGCCGACTACGCAAATATCTCACTTGCACATGTTAGGAATATATATATATATATATATATATATATATATATATATATATATATATATATATATATACGATTCAAAAAGGTTCGCACTGAAATGCTTATCAAGTAGATTAATTATTTTATGCAATTTTCTTGCATTCCTACAAGCGTTTATTTCTGTACATGAAATATGGAAAACTCTCCGAATGTTCTATATATCCGAGAGCTTTCGTCTATTCAATTAGCCATTGTAAAGTGTGTTTCTTTTTAATACAGAATATGTAGATTCTTATATGTTTGAACCTAAGGAAAAATATATATAATATATATATATATATATATATATATATATATATATATATATATATAGAGAGAGTGAGAGAAAGACAGAGAGATAAAAAGAAAGAAAGACGTGCAGACCGGGATAGATAGATAGATAGATAGATAGATAGATAGATAGATATCAACCGAGTTAATATCTCCTGAAAAAATTAATTCAGTTGAGCTCTCTGGGGAGAAAGTGTGGGTTTGTAAACAGTGACTATTACGGCTAATAATGCAAGACTCTTCGGTAAGTCGAATCGGGTTCTCTCAGTCACTGTGGATTTATATAAAAATAAATACGCTTAAATTCACCTTCATCCCTGCCGTGCGACAACGGCTTAGTAGAAGAATCCCCGACTGACGCCAGTTCAGTCGGGTTTCGGTCCTAGTTAGAGGTAACCGGACGTCTAGCCACACTGATGATGACAATATATAGATAGATAGATATGGGGAAATCTTCATGTAAAGCGTGAGAAATAAACAGATCTGCAGAGGGATGGCAACAGGCTGAATCAGAAACAAATCACAGATTTTACAAGTATGTGAGTATATTTTATTTCTCGTTTCAAAGGAAGTATGGTCGATCTTAAGCGATGAAATCGAAATCACGGCTGTTTGCATTCGATGCACAAGGAAACAAGATCCACATTAGTAATACAGCCAACTTGCATCTCCAAATCGAATTTAAGATAGATATGAAAAGTATGATTAAATATATATATATAGATTGTGAGTGAGTGCGAGAGAGAGAATGAAAACGAGTGAGAGAGAAAAAGAATGAGAGAGAAAAGAAATGAGAGGAGAGAGAGAATAATGTCTAGAAGAATTTAGAATCAATATGCTATTCTTCCCCAAAAAACAGGTATTAAATGTCAAGAATATATTGACAAAAACGTCTCAGCATTGATATTTTTTTAAACAGATAATGAAGGGGAAACCAAAAATGGGCTTTTCAACCAGAAATAAAACTTTTGTTCCAATTCATGCATAAAGATCTTAAGAATAGAAAGCGAAATCCATTTTTTTTTTGTAATTTTACACTTTATTGAAAAGGTTTTGTTAAAAGAATTGAAAGAGTTATTCTTCTTTTCTAGAAAATTGTGTGTAACAGAGGTGAATGAAAATTCAGAGCGACACTCAACAAAAAAATATAGGCGTTACACGCAGCTGTTAGAAATACATCTACACAGACACACACCCACACACACATATACATTAACTTGATATAATATCTGTGCCAATTTATTATACAAATGCGTGAAAAAATTCAACCATTCTTATGAATACAAATGTAATATCAAACCATGTCCTTGCGTTTGAGAATAACGAAATAAAATAAGCATAGTTATATTTCAGCGCGCGGATTAAATTTGAAATCGAGTGTCTCTCTCACTCTTTTTATATATATATATATATATATATATATATATATATATATATATATATATATATATATATATATATATATATTAGATAGAACGGTGGAGTAAGCGGCTTGGATTGAGGAATCGAGAGCCGAGTTCGCATTCCAGTCGAATTTATAACATTCACTTACGTGCTAATAAACTTGGGAATGGTAGGAATCCTCTTCTTCTTCCTCCAGCTATAGGTAAATAACAGAAGAGATGGGGTTCTATAGCCATGGATGGCAACTGGTCTAGGAGAAGGACAACACTGATTTCAAAACCTGCGGAGGGTCGTTTGGCGACCTTGTGGCATTTAATGCAACAGGTTTCTGTATTCGGCCCTTCAAAAAGTGTGGATGGTTCTGCACAAAGCCTTCACCACTGTAACGAAATCACATGTCGGTTGCTAGGAACTGATATATATCTGATATACATACATATATATATATACTAGCAGTAGAGCCCGGCGTTGCCCGGGGATGTAACAGTAAGAGAAAGTATCGACCATCATAAAGACCGAAAAATAAAATTGACAAAGATTATTGCTTTAGGTTGACGGACACGCATGTCTTAATTTTTTTTTTTTTTTTTACGAATAGGTCAAACTCAAACAAAAACATTGTTTTCAATCGTTATGAGTCTACCGATTGAATAGAATTTTATTATAAACAATTGTCTTGTAAATGGAATTTTTAAAGCATTCTAAATGTAAAAATAAAGAAAAAAGTGTGCAAGACAATAAGAAACACTACCTACAAAAAAAAACCTGAAGTTTTGTTGAAATCGGTTGAAAAATGTAGGATATCCGATCACATATATAAACGAACACACACACACACACACAATCTGGGTTTTATAATAAGTATAACTCGATACGAGTTGTCCTCCTTTCATTCTCACGATGCCTCTTAATCGTGTTTTCAAATTGATTTCGTGCAAAAATAATTGTGTTTTTCCAATATTTGGCGCTGTTAGAACCACCGCAAGGTAATGTTATGTAGTCCTGTGAAGTTCTGTTGAAATCGGTTGAAAAATGTAGGAAATCCGATCCAATATATAAACGTACACACGCACACACAATCTGCGTTTTATAATAAGATATATATATATATATATATATATATATATATATATATATATATATATATATGACGTATGAGGATAAATATATATATATATATATATATATATATATATATATATATATATATATATATTTGAGGAATAAAAAATATGGGATCATATTAAACATAAGATACAACAATATCCACGTTTAAAACATAAAATGTAAGGTACCTTTCGACCGAAACATTTTCAAACACAATCATCGGTAATCTAAAACGGAGTACTAATAAGAAAATTTTTTTATTAATACCGTAATAATCTTATGTTTAATATGATCCCATATTTTTATTTCTCAAATGTCTGATTAGATTTGGCAGTACTAGAAATCTATTTATATATATATATATATATATATATATATATATATATATATATATATATATATATATAATGCGTACAGGTATCGGTATCGTAGCGTTTATGGGCCTGGACATTGAACTTATCAAACCTACTTCAAGATGATATGTTCATCATTAATTAATGAAGCCAAGTATCGAAAGCTCATGAAGTATTGAAATAAAGTTCATATATATATATATATATATATATATATATATATATAAATAAAAAGAAAGAACAGTAAGATATAAAATCCGGTGTTCTTATAGATATTTTTATTTTTTACAAAATAGTGCTCAATGTAAATTTACAGAGCATTAATATTATAAATTAATTGATTTAAAATATGGTTTTTTTCGCTAAACAGTTTCAACCATGTTTCAAAAATAGAAGCTAAAACCCCGAATTTAATTTTGCTATTAAATTAAAAAATTAGTACCATTTCATCTTCAACCGAATTTGGAGACCCAAATTCGCTTGAAGATGAAATGGAACTAATGCTTTTTAATTTAATTGCAAAATTAAATTCGGGGTTTTAGCTTCTATTTTCGAAACATGGTTGGAACTGTGTAGTGACAAAAACATATTTTAAATCAATTAATTTATAATATATATATATATATATATATATATATATATATATATATATATATATATATGTATGTATTATTCTAGGATTCAAGATTATTTTCTCCCTTTCTAACCTTCTAATTTTCTGTCCTGGATAACAAGATGCCTCACTTGTTTTACGTATGATTTAATTTTCAAGACTTTTTTTCACTGCTGTTTGACTGTCAAAGCTGAACTCCTGACTCACGTGCCAAATGAATTATGGATGATGAGTCAGATCTTTTCTAACTGATCTCTTTAGCTCTAAGTTGAAATGATGATCCATCTTCTTGTTGCGACCTCCTGATCCAGATTTTTTTTCTTTCTACTGTTCCCATTTTTTAAAACTTATTCATCGTACTCTTGATGATTTCTTGAATGAACTTTGAACATAGAATCCAGGGTATCAATGCTGGTACTATTTCCTATCATCATTGCTCATTTAGGAAGACAGTGGAGTTGACACGATTTTAACCTGCTCTCTTTCTAGCTGAATAAATCAAAGATTTGTTTTTCAGTCATTCTTGCGACAAATGGCGTCAAGGTTGCTAAAAGTCTAATCTAAAAACTGTAATAAAAGAAGCCCCATTAGTTTATTGTTGTTTTTAGATATTAAACATTTTGTGCTATGGGAAATTATGTGTTACACGTTTTGAACACTTTTGCTGTTACACCTTGTATACTAGATCAGCATGTACTTTAGAATTGCATTGAAAATCAGGAAGGAAATGATATTTAAGCTTAAAAACAATTATGAAAGTATTACACATAATTTATTACATGTTAAACTTTTACGAGAGAAATGCATAAAAATCACGATTACAGGTATTGTAAATTATTAGGCATTTATTTATTAATAATTTATTTATTTAATAATAACAGAATAATGTCTTTTTTTTATATGCAAATCATTTAATTATTAATAGCTTGCACGCAGTTCCTTGTTTCAGTACTAGAATTTGTTTTGCGACCCACTGACGGAATCTTCATGGCATTTAGAATTGTTGAAGTTACCGCTACCATTTTTTGCCGAAATTTTGAAACTCTACGAGTCATTCAATTTCGCAAACCAGTCGATGAAATTTGAATGATTTGTTTAGAAAAATACTTTAACAAAAAACCCTAATTCGCGGTTTAATATTTTTTTTTAATTTAATTTTGTAGAACTTCATGGTAAACAATATTTTTAAGAATTTTTTTCCCCTTTTTCCGTTTTAACAGCGAAGAATAAATTCTTATAAATTCTTACTCTTGAGCATGCAGCGTACAACTGGCTATGCGTAAATATTTATTTCTGGAACTAAATTTCAATTTTATGAAGCGTTTGGCCTTTTGATTTGTTTATAGTTCTCGCAAACGGATGGCGAACTGGAAACTGGATTCTTGTATATGTAAAACTAAAAGAGATATGCAAAAAAACCCCAAAAAACAATATTGCATTTTTATTAAATAACTATTTGTTATTTTAATCGGTAAATAGTTTTTTAAATAGTGATATTATTTTGTATTTTTTGTTTTATTAGTTACCTTGACCAATTAAATTCATTTCATATTTTTTAATTGATAAAGTCCACATTGGACGAAACGCGTCAGCAATTACTAGTTTTCCTATTGTCATTTTTATTCATAAAAATTATTTTGTATGTTGAATATTAAAACTTCTAACTTTTTGAAACAATTAATGAAAATTTATTGTACTAAGTTACGCACCTTAATAAAACTAACTCTCCTTTGTACCTCCTTAGCTGTTTGCAATTCTCCCCAAAATTTAGATTCGATAGGTCAGTGTGTGGTTATTTTAGAGGATGTGACGTACGAGCGAACGGACTAACGGACGTCATAGAATTTTATATATAGAAATTGAAATAATTAGTATATTTTTGATTGACGCTGAAGATATACCAAAGATATATTTTCTTCATTCTTTTCACTTTTGGTGTGCTAGTATTCCATGGCAGGTAGTTATCCATTAGACAAATATTTGAGTATCTAACTGCAACGCCAACTAAATCTTACCCTGGAGAGAATATAGCGATAACATCGACATTCAAGCCAATATAAACTGCTTTATTCTTACGGACACTTTCTGGCTTTTCTTAAATCCGATTCCGTAGAAGAAAATCAGTTTATATATTCGCAGATTCCAAGAAATCCGTTCTGTTTCTGAAAAGATGGCAGATGCATTTCGGTCGCGTGCTATTCCCAATTTCACAGAAAATAATTTTATTTAGAAAAATCTCCAAAACGATCCTAACACCAAGGAAATTTCTGATCATATTTAAATGGAAGTATTTCCGAGAGCTACGCTCTTCTGAGCGATGTCCAAAATAGTACAAAATTCAAAGAGAATAGAAGCCAGTAGAAGACAACGCAGAGATCTGTTGGTGCCTATAGAATTGCGATAACTGCACGCATTTTTCTTTTGGTAAAGTTCATCCAATAGAAGGCCCAAAATCCGCTCAAAGAAAAGGGTTACTTTGTGTTGTTTTATGAGCATAAGAAAGGACAAGAAGTGAAGCTCATGAAGACTATGTAGGAAAGAAAATGTCCAACTAGACACTTGAAAAGGTCAAGACTCAAGATTTAATTGGTGAATAAAATTTCAAATATCATTTGGAGGCGTTAGAAGTATAAAGAAATAGTAGACCTTAGAAGGAACCAGAAACCCAATCGTAGTACGCTGCCTTTGTGAGCTTCCGAGTCGGCGTCTGTCGAACTCTCTGCATTAGCAGAGAGGAACCCGGACGAAGCTTTGCCGAAGGGCAAGGTTTCGTTCGGGGAGGTAGACAGGCCCTGAACCCGTCTAGGCGGGTTCAAAAAGGCTATATTTTTGGCCGAGCCTACATTAAACCGGCCTTGTGCCACATTCTATCCTCGTGGGTGGATTGATAAATACTAAGCTCTACTCTGTTCAAAAGACCGGGGAGAAATTTGAAGCGGATTATAGGAAAACCTATCTACTTTTATTCAAGACCAATATGAAAATAGATTGTAATTTGCTCTCTCTGTCGCAATTAAAATGCACCCCTAATCTACTACACACTCTTTCAACAACAAAAGAGAGAGTATTCACTGTATTATATATTAAATCATATATCTGAATTCTCCTTCTTCTCTATGCCATGTCCCTCCAGGACGTTGGCTCTACACAATTTCTTGTCGTTTTTCTTTTGTTTTTAATCAATTCACCCCAAGCAAGGCAATAATGCCATTAAGACACAAAAAAGTAAAAGTGAAAAAAAGACTTTAGAATGAACCAAAAATCCAATCCTAAACAGGGATAAAGCTCTACTCCTGTTCAAAAGAACAGGGAGGAGTGTGAACCGGACAGTAGGTAAACCTATATCCTCCTATTAATTTTTAATTTTTTAATTTGGCTGTCACCCAAGGGCAGAAAACCCAATCTACCCTGCTATTTAGGACTCAGATACAATGAACTCGGCCAGATTTTGAAATCAGCTCACTAATAACACTCTCTACCTAAAAGAACAACTACCTATTAGTCGTTGCTCTGAACAAACTTTGTCCTTTACCAAACTTCACACACCACTGTTGTGCCAATTAGTGCTTAATAACAAATACTTGCATATTCAGTAAATAGATGTTTTAAAAATCATATGTAGTCAGTCAATTTATTTTTAATCAATTCACCCCGAGCAAGACAATAACGCCACTAAGACATAAAGAGCTACGGGGAGTGAAAGAGAATAAAATTTTAGAAGGAATCGAAAACCCAATCCTAAACAGAAAACAAAAGATAAATCTCTACTCCGTCCCCCCCCCCAAAAAAAAAAGACAGGATTTTAAAATGGATTATAGGAAAACGTATCTACTCCTATTCAAGAACAATATTGAAATAAGATTTTAATTTACTCTCTTTGGGGCCATAATTTTAGGGTCACTTTTTTTTTGTATGAAGGTCAAGCAGCTCTCCGATTCCTCAATCCGAGCCATTATTCCCTACTCCATGGTGCCTTCTTATATATATACATATACATATGCGTGTGTGCGCGCGCGAATGTGAATAAAATGAACAATAGGAAAGCTTTATTTAGTCTTTTCCAACGTGTTTCGTCATCTTTCTTTATCAAGTAAAGATATTATTTTGTTTTGTACATTGTAGCCAATATAAACAAAAGCGGAATGTTGCTAGTTAATCGAAATTCAAAATTTTATAACACGTTCATAAATATTCATCAGATTAAATTACGTGACGTAATTTAACCTTATGGCGTATTTCAAATAGAAACTTTATAGATTAGAATGTCAATTTTGTTCGCTTTCACAAAATCTATTACAAGCGGCTATTTTCCACATTTTAAGACATATTTGTAAACACATTTTAATTTTCGGTTTAAAAAATCTTCCAAAAATAAAATGTATATCTGTGACACGTTATTTGAGGAAAATTAGCAAATATAAAGTTAAGTTAATCTGATTTCAAATAAATATTACTTACTTATAGCAGAAAAAACGCAGTATACAAGCATTTCTTAACCACGACGTGTTGATTTATGTAATCGACGTGCTAAGGGGTTGTCAGCTAAATATGGATGACCGGAATCGAAAGTTTACAAAATCTGAGTGTACACATTTTTCTTGGTTTTTAAGTAACTAGTAATGTTTACAAATTAACATATTTTCAGCAATTATGTAATATTTTATTGAGTTTTAGTTACAGACTTTCGTTTGAAAATGCTTTCTGAAAAAGTAACAAGATTTAAGATACTATAAAAAGAATAAACTGAAAAAAAATAAGAAATTACTAACAAAAAACATTTTCATCTAGGTTTTTTTTCTTAAAATCGTTTTAAGAAATACTCAAAGTACGACCCGAACTGAAATAAATACATGAAATAAAAAATATTTACTGAAATAAAAATTTTAAAAAGTATCTTATTTTAAAGTTTTTAAACATTGAAGGGATGATGTGCATACCCTGCTGTGACGTAAACACTAAATGAATAACGAATTGCAGACAAGCTAATTTCTCAGTAAATATAGGACAAAGTTCTGTATAGGCTACCATACATACAAAATGGAATTATTTTGTTATGGGATCGTACACATAATAATAATAATGGACTATTCCATACTTAATAAATACTGCGCCTCAGGAGTAGACAAGGTGTCAGAGGCAGTTCACATTTGAACCGGCTGCTTGGTTTGAACTCTCTTCCTACGGGCGGGAGGAACCCGAAGGAGGCTACGCCGAAGGGCGGAGTCTCCTTCAGGGAGGTAAAACGGCCCAGAACGTTTATGCGGGTTCAAATGGGCTATTTTTTGGCCGAGCCTAATGGCTCGGGAATGCCCACGTTAAAAAGGCCTTGTGCCACATGACACCCTCGTGGGGGGGTGACTGAATATTGTCAGAGGCAGTTCACTTTTGAACCGGCTGCTTGGTTTGAACTCTCTTCCTACGGGCGGGAGGAACCCGAAGGAGGCTACGCCGAAGGGCGGAGTCTCCTTCGGGGGAGTTAAAACCGGCCCAGAACCCGTTTGAATATGGGGTTCAAATGGGCTATTTTTGGCCGAGCCTAATGGCTGGGAATGCCCACGTTAAAAGGCCTTGCCTAATGCCACATGACACCCTCGTGGGGGTGACTGAATATTGTCAGAGGCAGTTCACTTTTGAACCGGCTGCTTGGTTTGAACTCTCTTCCTACGGAGTGGGGAGGAACCCGAAGGAGGCTACGCCGAAAGGGCGGAGTCTCCTTCGGGGAGGTAAACTCGGCCCAGAACCCGTTTATACGGGTTCAAATGGCTATTTTTTTGGCCGAGCCTAATGGCTCGGGAATGCCCACGTTAAAAAGGCCTTGTGCCACATGACACCCTCGTGGGGGTGACTGAATATTGTCAGAGGCAGTTCACTTTTGAACCGGCTGCTTGGTTTGAACTCTCTTCCTACGGGCGGGGGAGGATCCCGAAGGAGGCTGCGCCGAAGGGCGGAGTCTCCTTCGGGGAGGTAAACTCGGCCCAGAACCCGTTTATACGGGTTCAAATGGGCTATTTTTTGGCCGAGCCTAATGGCTCGGGAATGCCCACGTTAAAAGGCCTTGTGCCACATGACACCCTCGTGGGGGGTGACTGAATATTGTCAGAGGCAGTTCACTTTTGAACCGGCTGCTTGGTTTGAACTCTCTTCCTACGGGCAGGAGGAACCTGAAGGGGCTACGCCGAAGGGCGGAGTCTCCTTCAGGGAAATAAACTCGAAGGAGGTTCTGCCGCCGAAGGGCGTTAAAAATCCTTGTGCCTTCATGACACCCTCGTGGGGGGGTGACTGAATATTGTCAGAACCCGTTCACTTTTGAATATACGGGGGTTCAATAGGGCGGAGTCTCCTTTTTGGCCCCGAACCCTAATGGCTCGGGGAATTCCCACGTTAAAAAGGCCTTGTGCCACATGACACCCTCGTGGGGGGTGACTGAATATTGTCAGAGGCAGTTCACTTTTTGAACCGGCTGCTTTGGTTTGAACTCTCTTCCTACGGGCGGGAGGAACCCGAAGGAGGCTGCGCCGAAGGGCGGAGTCTCCTTCGGGGAGGTAGCTCGGCCCAGAACCCGTTTATACGGGTTCAAATGGGCTATTTTTTGGCCGAGCCTAATGGCTCAGGGAATGCCCACGTTAAAAAAAGGCCTTTGTGCCACATGACACCCTCGTGGGGGTGACTGAATATTGTCAGAGGCAGTTCACTTTTGAACCGGCTGCTTGGTTTGAACTCTCTTCCTACGGGCGGGAGGAACCCGAAGGAGGCTACGCCGAAGGGCGGAGTCTCCTTCGGGGAGGTAAAACCGGCCCAGAACCCGATTATACGGGTTCAAATGGGCTATTTTTTGGCCGAGCCTAATGGCTCAGGAATGCCCACGTTAAAAAGGCCTTGTGCCACATGACACCCTCGTGGGGGGGTGACTGAATATTGTCAGAGGCAGTTCACTTTTGAACCGGCTGCTTGGTTTGAACTCTCTTCCTACGGGCGGGAGGAACCCGAAGGAGGCTACGCCGAAGGGCGGAGTCTCCTTCGGGAGGTAAACCGGCCCCAGA